TGCTGGGGCCTGGTCTGTGCTGGGGCCTGGTCTGTTCTTGTCTAGATGGTGGTTGTTCTGATTTTGTAGCCATACATAGAATCAGGTCCTAGAGCTCAGGCCAGTCTGGACAATCTTGTCTGATGTGCAGCTTCAGGGGTCACACAGATCTTGTCACCTGAGCCAGGGCTGTGTGTGGGTCATTTACAGATAAAGATGGACACACACTTTTAGAGGGTAATTTCTCTCTTTCTGAGATGCAATCACCTTTTCCCCATGTCTTGTCAGGCCCTGCCATGTTGGTTAAAACCACTGCAGGATTCTATAAGGGTGGCCAAAACCCAAATCAGATGCCTCAAGCTCAGCAAGGTCATGTCAGGGGACAGGGATCCCCCCACTGAACAAATGGCAAGTCAGATATCTTGCCAGTCTCACAACAGTCCAGATTTTCCTTCAAGCCCCAGCCCATGGAGTCAGGTGAATACACATTTTACTTATTGTCTTCTCAGTGAATTTATTTCTGGCATTTATGATTGCAGAAAAAAAAGGAAAACCCAAGCATGTGACTCAAGTTGCGTGTTCACAGGAAGAACCTGCAGAGTATCAGTGAGCTCCTCTAGTAATGTGGGTTTTCTTTTTCCTAAGTTCCCATGATTTTTTCCCAACACCAGAACATCTGGTGTTGCCCATGCTTCACACACAGGAGGTTGAGCTAAGCTGCGTGTGCCAGCTGGAGACTGGCATCTCCCCAGCTCCTGGCCAGCTCCAGGCTGCTCCCTGGGAAGCCCTGATCCCAGCCAGAGCCAGGATGATGTGCTGTCACAGCAGGGATTGCTGTGGAGGTGTCCTGCAGGGAATGAGGACTGGGAGAACTGGGAGAACTTGGTGTTGAGCTGAAGGAGCAGGTGTGGAAATGAAGCCTTGTTTTGGGAGCCCAAAATCAGGGCAGGGTGGTGGGTATGGGGCTGGGAAAGGAACCCCACTGGGATGGGGAGATGTTCCCAGGGGCTGTACAATGGGACAGGTGGGGAAAAAAGGCTCCTAGTCTGTATTTAGCCCTGGTTCACACTGAGGCTTGCCTGTGGATGTGGGCTGTTCACCCAGGCTGTATTTAAGCCTAGTCTGCATTCAGGCCTGGCTGGTATCCCCCCTATATTTAGGCCAGTTCTGTTTGGCCCAATCCGCATTTACCCTCAGCCTGCAGCTCCGGTCCGTATTTCGACCCAGCCGGCTGCCCACGCTGGATTTAGATCCCGTTTGTCCTTAGGGCTGCTCTGTACTTACATCTGACCCACAGGCCCAGCGTGTCGGCCTGGTCTGTGCTGGGGCCTGGTCTGTGCTGGGGCCTGGTCTGTGCTGGGGCCTGCTCTGCAGGCCTCACACAAAGGCCCCACGCAGCAGCCCCGTAA